AGATAGAGTGGTGTAAGGTGGGACATTTATTTATTTATTTATTTATTATGTTTGGACAGTATCTCGCCATGCAGACTTGGCTGGCCATGAACTCACAGAAAACACCTTGTCTCTGCTTCCCAAGTGGTAGAATTAAAGATATTTATCACCATGCCTGGCCTAAGGCTTCTTAAACTTCTTTCTGCTCACGGTCCCTTTTCACCTGGGAAAATTTTACATGACCTCAGGAATATAGTTATATAAAATAGGCATACAAATAAAATTTTTACTGCCAATAAATGATAAAGTATCAATTCTCGTGTGTGTGTGTGTGTGTGTGTGTGTGTGTGTGTGTGTGCCATGCAAGGACCCTGCACAAGGACCCAGCCCAGTACCAGGGAACAAGTATTAAAGGAGAGAGAGTCTGATGTTCAAGGCCATCCTCTGATACATAGTAGTTTAAGTTCAGTCCTGTCTCCAAAAAGAAATATATTTTGGGTGAATATTTGACACTGCAGGTAGAGCATATTGGACATTTTTCAGAGCTGATCAACACTCTGACTTTATAGCTGACAGTGCTGAGAATGCCTTTTCACATACATTGTCATACACAATAACAGAAGTATGTTTCAGCAGTCTCAGAAACTGTTAGGAATTTCATCCTAATCCCACACCCAAGTTAATTGAACAATTTTTGAATGATACTCCAGCAACTCAAGTAGCAATTTTTTAAAGCCAAACATTACGACACAAAACATTCCAAAGTTATATTAATTTGATATTAACATGGTAAGGAACATGTTTTCTGTTATCAAACCACTCTGTTCCTATAAAGGGAAACAACTATGAACATCCAGTAAAAACACTGCAATTTTAGCATGCAATAGTCTGCATTCTGAGCCAAGGTGTGTCAGGAAGTGTTTGTGGGTGTTTTGTGGTATGATGGTTCATGCATTGAGCACGAGGTAGGCATGTTGTGTGCTTCAAATCAAGACGATGGGGAAGTCTTCGTGCAACACAGATAAGCACTGCCAATAAGCCTCAGATTCATTATGTGTTTGAATTCAATTTGTTTTACTATTGTCAGATTTTTCATGATCACCACATGAATTACATTGTCCCATATATGGTCATGACCCACAGCTTAAGAAGCTGGGTTTTTGGGATGGGGAGATGGCTCGGCTCACTGGCTGCTGTTGCAGAAGACCTAGGTTCTGTTTCCAGCATCCAAATGACTCAGAACTGACTGTAACTCCAGTTCCAGGGCCTCAGAGGCTCTTTTCTAGCCTACACACACACACACACACACACACACACACACACACAGAGAGAGAGAGAGAGAGAGAGAGAGAGAGAGAGAGAGAGAGAGAGAGAGAGTTAAAAAAAAAAGAAGCTGTCCGGGGCACTTTTGTAGAGGGACATCTGATTCCCTAGGTCTACACAGGAGACAGGCAGTGCAGAGAGCCCTGTTTGGAGCACAGGGAACAGTGCGTATAAGGATAAAAACTGTGGAGACGTACCTAACTCCTGGCGGGTTTGTAGACCTTATTCTCACAGTGTGACATGTGAGAGCAAGCTCTAAGCACTTGTTTCCTAATGGAGCTGTAATAGAAACCTCTTGTTGTTTTGTACGACGGCAATAAGAGGTATAGCAATAAATGAAGAGTGCTTTATCCTTTTGTAAAACCATCTGTATTCTGAAACTTTAAAATGTCTCATATTTCGAATGCTAACAGGAAAACAGGATAGAGGTGGAGGAAGAGTCTAAGGTAGTAGCTACCCCAATTCCCTTTTTCTCTTTTGGGCCAGGAGCAGGAGAGACAAAGTCTGCGTAGCGATGCTGGCCTTGGACTCACAGAGATCCACCTGCCTCTGACCTCCAACTGCTGGGATTAAAAGTGTGCCCTACCACAACTAGCTTTTAACTCCTAATTTTGAATGACAACAATTGAGATTTAAATGTGAGGTGAAAAAGCCATGGGCACTTGACTTGCTAGTGTTAGACTTGAGGTAGGAACTCCAAATTTGTCTGTGTGAACCTTTTCCATAACACACTGAGGATGAGCTGTTTCTCATAGACAAGCACTCAAACTATTTTTTTTATGGTATTTCAAGACAGGGTTTCTCTGTGTAACAATCCTGACTGTCCTGGAACTCACTTTTTAGACCAGGCTGGCCTTGAACCACCTGCCTCTGCCTCCCGAGTGCTGGGATTAAAGGCATGTGCTACCACAGCCAGACTGGTTTTTTAAAGTGAGTCCCTGACTTTCCTCCCCTGAAATATCTCCTGCTTAGTTTTCCAACTAGCTTGAAGTTCTTCTAAACTCTGGTTGAAAAGCTAGTCAACTAGAACCAAACGTTATTGACACTACCCATGGCTAAATGTGGAAATCAGTGGGACACAGATTGGTTACCAGAGGGAACTGCAGACTCTTGGTCAGAGTGCAGGGTCATGTTTTGCTGCATAACCTCAGAAGTTGGCAAAAGGTAGAGAGGAGAGGCTGGCCTTCAGACAGGAAGTGGAGGTGGGCCTTTGGCTCACATACCTGTTGCCCACACTGGCTCACATGACTGGCTCACAGCTCTGAAGGAAACTACTTCCGTCAAGTAATGAAGCCTCGGAAGGTCTGGAATCACCAGATGAACATTGGCAAATCCTCAGTTACCACAGTATGACCTTTGTAAAAATCAAAGTCTATACTGCAAGGACAGGAGTTGGCACGGGCCACACCAAGAGCAAGTTCTTAGCACAAAGGAGATTTCTTTGCCCCAGAGGGACAAAGGGCAGGGAATAAGAGACAAAGACAGGAGATAGAGGACAAAGGAGAAGGGGAAGGGTACTTGTTGGGGAGTATGTGCATGAAGGGAGGGGCAGGAGACAAAGGACTACCTCTGGATAGAGAGGAGACAGGCCTGGTCCATAGGCAAGTGGCAGTTTATAAAGGGAAAAGGGGAAACCTTGTGTTAGAATGAGTTGGTTTGTTTTGATTGGACATGTTAATTAGAGCAGCCAAAGGGGAGCTTCTGATTGCTGGACTTCAATATTTTGTTAGCTGAACCTTGGCGGTCAGCCTCAGGAAGAGGAAGTGGCCAGTCTATAAGGGAATAGACCTTGGTGGCCAGCTTTAGAAATGTAATCTATGGTTTAGGAAGGACAAGGGCTGCCAGAGCCATGTTTGCTATGCTCCGGCCTGTTAGAGCCCTTCTTAGACCCGAGGTCAGGTCAAAATGATTAAAATGTGAAAAGATGTGACTGCCATAAAAGATGGACAGTTGGAGTCGGTCAGCAAAGGAAGCAGGCACAGTTCCTTCCAGAGGAGTTTAGTAGGGAGCCAGGGCCTGGAGGTGGGAGGGACAGCACGATTCACAAACAACATAATTTGTGGAGCTTGTCTTAGACAGGATAGCACCTGAATGGAAAGAGAGGCTTCCCTTTAGAGCCTGGAAAAGAGCTTCATTAAGAATATGAATGAGGGGGCTGGAGAGATGGCTCAGTGGTTAAGAATACTAACTGGTCCTCCAGAGGTCCTGGTTCAATTGCCATCTGTAATGAGATCTGGTGCCCTCTTCTGGCCTGCAGGGACACAAGCAGACAGAACATTGTATACATAATAAATAAATGTTAAAAAAAAAAAAAGAAGAATGAGAGAGCAATGAGTAGAGAGGCAGACAGCATGGTGGGTGGGGGAGGCAGCTAGAGGCAGACCTCAGAACATCTCTCCAGCAGTGTCCCTGAGGTGTCTCACACCAACCCCTTAAATAAAGGGAAAGTCCAATTTTTATAACCGTCTAGAGGTGTCAGCGAGTTTTGCATCCCATGATTTAGCTCAGTGTGAGCTACATGATAAGGAGCCGGGTACCATAAACTAAGAAGAGCTTCCAAGCTACTGTGCAGACTTCTTCATAACACTGTCCTAGAGACAGCTGTGGAGAGGCATGGCCTAATTCAGTTTATGGAATGGGGCTTAAAGATTCTATGTTCTAACAATGGACAAAGGGTTTTATTTTTGTTTTTTTGTTTTTTGTGTTTTTTTTTTTTTTGAGAAAGGGTTTCTCTGTAGCTTTGGAGTCTGTCCTGGAACTCACTCATTAGTCCTGGATGGCCTTGAACTCACAGAGATCCATCTCTCTCTGCCTCACGAGTGCTGGGATTAAACGCATGTGTCACCACTGCCGGGCATGGACAGAGTTTAAAATGATGAAGAATAGGGGTCAGGCTGTATTACACATTTTCTAACTCCCCAGGGTAGTGGAATCGAGATCGAAATAGCTTGGAGGACCTGCCAAGACAATGAATGCATGAAACCATGAATTTAACAAAACTGGATGACTTAGCAGGTCTCAAACTGGCAGGTGGGACTTGAGTGGGATACTGGAACTCAATAATCTCTTAGTGACTTTATCTGAGGGCACTCCTGGGCCAGTAGTTCGTAAGTTCCTCCAGTTCTGTACTTCTGCCTTTTACTACAAGGAAGTTCGCTTGCTAACAGTGAGTAAACAGGCCAGGCGGTGGTGGCGCATGCCTTTAATTCCAGCACTTGGGAGGCATAGACAAGTGCGACTTTGAGGCCAGCCTGTTCTACAGAGCGAGTTCCTGGACAGACCGGGCTACACAAAGAAACACTGTCTCTAAAAAGACAAGAAACAACAACAACAAAAGAGTGAGTAAACAAGCAAGGGCATACATAGAAAACTCACTCTCTCAGATGCCAGGCACACACGCTAAAAGACATTAGAAAAGGTGGTGCGTGCGTGAAGAAAGCAGCCTTTTCCTAGTAGCCTGGCAGCGTGTTTAGGAAAGTTGTTTAATTTTTTTCCTAAACATATCTTATCCTTCTGTGTAAGGGGGGAAAAAGCATCTCTTTAGTGCAAATTCGCAGTCTTTGAAGACCTAAGCTCGGAACTAAGCTGACAGAGCGTTTGCGTCTGTGGATCGGGCTGCAAGGGGCCACGCCCCCTCCTTCATACTCATCTCTGATTGGCCCCCTCGGAGGGGCGGGACCCTGGCGGGCTCTAGTTATCCAGGCAAGGGTTAGGTTGCAGGGCGGGGGGACTCTGCAGACACCGCCATGGCTCGCAGGGCTCTTGGGCCTGCGCGCTCCCTGCTCGCTGCCCTTCTGGCTCCGGCGTTGGTGGCACTGTTGGTGTCGCCGGCCCGGGGTCGCGGGGGCCTGGACCACGGGGACTGGGACGTGGACAGGCGACTACCTCCGCTGCCACCCCGCGATGACGCGCCGCGCGTGGCCCGCTTCGTGACGCACGTCTCGGACTGGGGTGCGGTGGCCACTATCTCCACGCTGGAGGCGGTGCGCGGCAGGTCCTTCGCGGACGTCATTTCATTCAGTGACGGTCCCCCGGGAGCAGGCAGCGGTGTGCCCTACATGTACCTGAGCCCGTTGCAGCAACTAGTGAGCGACTTGCAGGTGAGCAGGAGCGCCTCGCGGTTCCCTAGGTTGGGCGCTGCGGGGCTAGCAACCACAGGCCGAGCAGGGAGCGAGCCTCTGAAGTTTAGTTCGCCACGGAGAACGTGGTTCGTAGAGATAAGAAGTTTGAACCCAGCTCAGATGAGTGTCCCTTCTGGCCGACGCTGGCTAGGAGGAGACTGTAGCATCCCAGATGTTGGGGGAGAAATTCTTTGCTAGTACCTGGGCTGTCTCTGCATGAACTGGGTGCTTGTTATTTAAAGGCTATACAAAATATACAGATTGTTGGGTAGTTTAGCATTTGGTTTATGTGACTTCAGAGTTTCTCTATCCTACCTCTCCAGAACTTTTCTATCAGCCGTGGGGAGATACTATGAAACATGGTTGACAGCGTTTTTTGAACTACTTAAGCATAGTGGCTTCAGTAGAGAGCAGGACTCTTTGAAGGGCTGGTCCCTCTTTGTACTTTGCCTACTCTCTGGGACTGGGCTAAGCTTACAGCTCTGGTGGAACACAGCCTGGGAGGGAAGAGCCACACAGGTGCCTAGAAATGGAGCCTGACTTGGTGGAGGGTTTTTGTGGCAAAGCCAGGAAGGCACAGTGTATTGGTAAAAGTGAGATGAGAGAAAGTGACATTTTGATCAAGCACTTGGGGTGTCATGTGCCAAGCAAGAGCTTTTCAGTTCCACTCATTTCCATTTATTGTCTTTTGGAATAGCTCTTAGGAATAGCTTTGACTGTTCCCACCTTATAGCTGATGACATGAGGAAACCCTAGTTCACCTCAGATCCACCTGTCTTCAAAGCAAAGGCCCCAGACTGGGACCCCTGAGCCCAGAGGCCGGCTTTCATCAGCTGACAAAATTCTGTTTTATTCTAAACAAATTTAAATTAGTCACTGCCTTTTAAAACTGCAATTGTAGGGGCTGGGGAAAGAGCCTGTTGGTAAAGTACACGCCATGAGAGCATGAGAACCTGTGTTTGGTCTTCATTGCCCATGTAAAAAGTGAGGGAAAAATGGCATACACTTGAGATCCTCACTGGCTGACACCGCTCCCTGTCCAGCCAGCCTAGCTGAGTCGGTGAGATTCAGGCCCCAGGGAGGGACCTTGTCTCAAATCTCAAAAAACAAGTTGGATGGCTCCAGCTTCTGAGGAGTGACACCCAAAGTTGACCTCTGGCCACAGCATACACTCATTAATACATGTGCACCTGTGGTCTGTGGTATACCTGCACTCTCTTCACACACAGACACACACACACAGACACACACAGACACACACACACACACACACAGAGAGAGAGAGAGGGAGAGAGGAGATATATAACAAATAAATAGAATTTGTTTGAATTTTTGTCTAATTTTTTAAAAGATTTATTATTTCACATACCAATCCCAACTCCTCCTCCCTCCCCTTCTCCTGCTCCCCCCACACCACCCTTATCTGCTCCTCAGAGAGAGTAAGGCCTCCCAAAGGAAGTCAATGAAGTCTGTCCAATCATCACTGTTGAGGCAGGACCAAGGAAAGATATCTCTCCATAGAAATGGTCCCCAAAAAGCCAGTTCATGCACTAGGGATAGATAGATCTTGGATCCACTGCCAGTGTCCCCACAAACTGCCCAAGCCATCCACTGTCACCTGCATTCAGGGGGCCTCGTTTAGTCCCATGCAGGTTCCTCAACTGTCAGTCTGGAGTCAGTGAGCTTTGTCTAATTTGTTTAATTCGTCTAAAATTTTAAGTGTCTAACTCTTCTTGAAAAAAAAAAAAAAAACAGAAATCAAGCAGCCTAGCAGCCCTGGGAGTGGGAGTGGAACTGCATTTTCTGAGAAACAAAAAAGAACAGAAGCCACTGCTCCTCCAGCCTGGATATATTCACCCCAATTCTCCATTTCCTTCTGCCCAGGCCACTTCACTGCTTTAGGCATCTGCCATTCACATGCTCCCTCTACTCCAGCGGTGGCACTCCACTGACCCGCAGATCACTCGAGAAGAGCTTTAAAATGCGCTGCCAAGTCACTTTATTGTACAACAAGCCCTCTACTCCCTCAAGCCCTCCCTGGTGATTCTAACAGGAAGGGGACTGACTGAACTGCCACCCTCACTGAAGAGATGAGGACACTGAGATTTAGAGGAAAGGGGCTCATTTGTGACCAGCTAGTTAATGGCCATCCATCGGGTAGGACTCCCGTGAGATCTTTCGTGTGTAGAGAAGAGGCAGATGTGAGGAGCAAACCCATGGTTTCAGGTTTCTGTGATGGCATTGAAAAGGTGTGAACATGTCAAGAGGGGTCTGATGGATGCTGACTCAGATAATTAACCAGCCAAAGTTGGCTTCTGCTCTGCTTTTCCTCTTGCTTCCAACCACCAAGAGTCTCTCTTCATGCCTTCCCAGTAGGTTAGAAGAATAAGACTCAGGCTTGAGACCACTTCTCCCATGTAAAATGCCAGACATCTCCCTCAGAGACAAGTTGTGGGGTTTGAGTCTACTTCCCACTGGGATGTTCCTCTTGTCTAGTTTTTCGCTGTGTAATGTTTATGTATAATAAATGTTTATAGGAAGAATTTGTTGGTGCTGGTTGATAATATAGTACCAAGTTGAGCTCTGTAGAGACAACAAGTCAAAATTGATAGAGAATGCTTGCCTAGGATGCAGGAAGCTCTTAGATGTATCCCAGTGTTGCATAAAGCAGGCTTGGTGGTGCAGGCCTATAGTCTCAGTATTTGGGAGGTAGGGGCAGAAGGGTTAGCAGTTCAAAGTTATTCTCTGCTATCTGGTGAGTTCAAGGCCAGACTGTCCTATCTCAAACAAAACAAAATGCTTTTATCTTTTCTTCCTTCTTGGCACTTCTCTCTTGTGATATGACCAGGTTATTCCTGATTTCTTTTCCCCTTTGACCCATTAAAAACAAGTCAATTTCTTACCCCCTTGATCTTCGAATATTATGTGCACAGTCATGGTTTCCCTTCTGCTTTAGGATTTACTTCCACATTTGTGTTTATGTTGGACCTCACCAGAGTCTTGTATTTCTGATTGCCTTCATTTAGTTAGTATCTGTCACATAAAAATCCCATTTCCCTCTTCTTCTTGGAAACCTTCTCCCTTTGACTGTCAGTGTCCTGGTTTGTGGAATTATTGTTTTCTCAGTAAATATGTTAGAATTCTCGATGCCTCTCCAAATCTCTCTAGTTTTCTTCTGCTTCCTTTGTTCCCATCTCTGCTTCTTCCTCTTTAATTCACCCTGTGCTTAGGCTAAGTCCTCACTACTTCCTGCTAGAAACTGTCTGGACCACCCTGCCCAGTAACAAAATACAGTGTTGCCCCACTCACATGGGGCTTAACCAACACTGCCTGTTACTGCTTAAGAATCACCCAAAGTGTTTGTCACCCTGGGTGTGGGAGCTGGGGAGATGATTCATCAGGAAAAGAACTTGACAACTGTCAGAGTTCAGATTCCTAGCACCCACATAGAAAACCAACTGGACTGCCTGTAGTCCCACTGCTTGGCAAGTGGAGACAGGGAATTCCCAGGACAAGGTAGTAAGTTCCAGGTTGAGCAAAAAACACTCCCTGTCCTAGTAAATAAAGTAGAGGTTGATCAAAGAAGGTACCCAATGTCATCTGACTCCCACCTACATCTGCCCACATACATGGAACACACATGAGTGCACACATACACACAGACACACACACACACAAATAGTAAAATAAATAAAACCTTGGGTACAGACTGGTACCAAGAATCACCATTTCAACAAACTCTGTAGGGGATTTTGGAAAGTGCTGCTTGAGGATACCTGCAAAATCCAATCCAGACATCTGAGCTTGGGTTTGAGCCAAGCTCACCACCTCCCCAGCCCCTCCATTCCTTGGCTTGCCGTCACTTTGGCTTTCTTTTAATAGTTGTGGTGTTTCTATGTTGTGTGTTGCACAGTTAACATTCCCTCTGCCTTAATACACCTTACTACTCCTGTCCTGATTTTTGGTTATGTATGACCTTTCAACTGAATCTGAAATTCAAAGGTGAGAAATCTTACCTGAGCTCTCTCTCCCTTGTTTTGTTTTTTTTTTTGTTTGTTTGTTTATTTGGTTTTGGTTTTGGGTTTTTTTTTTTTTTTTGGACAGGTAGGGTGGGTAGGGGGAGTTCCTCTCCTCATCTTACAACTTGAAGACAGCAAATATTTTATCTAGGATTAAAGGTACATACTACCATGTCCAGCAAGATTGACTGTACTTTTAGTTATGTGTATGTGTGGCTATTGGTGTGTGGGTGCCCATAGGCCAGAAATGACAAGTGTCTGTGAGCCACTGGATGTGGGTGCTGGGACCCAAACTTGGGCCCTATGGAAGAGCAATACCTGCACTTATTTTTGAGCGCTGTTTTTCTTCATCTTTCCTGAGAATCTCTGGGGCTCACTGTTTTTGATGGGCCATTGTGGAATAGGAAAGTTCACCCCCAAAACACGCTGAGTGAATGCTACTGTGAATTTGCAGTAATCTGGAATGATGCCGAGTTCTGGAGAGAAAGGATTGAGGAGTCTTTCTGCCTTTGTGTTTGGAATTGAGTTAAGAATTCTCTTCTTACAGAAGAAGCTGGGAGAAGACTAAGCAGCTCTCCCTTCTTAAGATCACAAGACAACTTCTGCAGTCACGAGATAACTATGCAACGTGACTCAGCTACTTTCTTGTTTAAATTATGCAATTAGGCTGTTCAAGCAACTGTGGTCTTTTTATGCACTGTTTTTAAATTAGAGTTTGATCTTGTAGATATTTCAGTGAGGGCTATCACCAGCTCTGTTTGGGGAATGCTGTATTTATAATTCTGATAATTATGAAACAGATAAGAACACACATGCTAAAACATTCCCTATAGTTTGTTAATTTAAAACGTGACATCTTGCTGGAGAGATGGCTCAGTGATTAAGAGCACTGGCTGCTCTTCCTAGAGGTCTTGAGGTCAATTGCTACAACCACATGGTGGCTTGCAACCATCTCTAGTGGTGTCTGATGCCCTCTTGTGGCATAAAGTTGATAGAGCACTCATATACATTAAATAAGTACATCTTTAAGAACATGACACCTCTCCACACACACACTTCATGGGGATCAGGACCTATTTCCACCCATGGATTGTTTTTCCCTGGTTCGAAATGGCTTACAATTCACATTCCATGGAAGTGTGATACATCGAGGGATGGTATGTCTGCAGCGTGTATTATACTTCTCCAGAAACCAAATTTCACATGGAAGGATTTCCATATTTCTCTCTGCAGGAAAATCCACAGGCTACATTGACACTGTCTTTGGCACAGACTGTCTTCTGTAGGAAACATGGATTTGATCCCCAGAGTCCCTTGTGTGTTCATATAATGCTGTCAGGAACTGTGACCAAGGTAAGCAGCGACTCCCATGAAGAGAGATGGACTTGGAAGAACATCGTGGTATCAGAAACAAGAAAGGGGTCCTTTGTTATGATAAATCTTTCTGCCAGAAGCCACAGAGCCCCATCGCCACGTGTGCACTTTATGACAGCCGCCCGCCCGAGTTAGGGGTCAAATTAATACACAGAGAGACTTGTATTAGGTGCAATGCTGCTTGGCCAATGACTAGGATTTCTCATCTGTTAGCTCATTCTTAATTATCATAAATCTATATATTTTGTAAGACTTATCTTATCGGATGCCTTATTGGCGTCCCTCCTTGCCGGTGGATCACATTGCGCCGCTGGAGGAGGCACCGTGGGGAAAAGGGGAACACTTCCTGTTTCCTTTGCTTAAATATAAGTCTCCTTGCTATGTCCCTTCCTGCCTGGATCACCACTTCTCTACTACATTTCCCAGAATCCTCTTTGACTCCTAGTCCTGTCTAACTTGCTGTTTCATTGGCCAAACTTTATTTAACAATCATTAAGATAAACATACACAGAAGTACTTCCCCCATCAGTCCTTGAAGAATAACATGCAATGGATTTGTTAGTGGGTGCATGGTAAGAATATGTTCTAGCACATACAATGATTCCAAGAACTAAAGTCTTTGACCGGGATCACTCATGTAGGTGTTCAGTAGGGCTCTTAAGGGGCAAAGGACCTATGTCCTGGAACCAAACATGTCACATCTGGAAGGCCCCCGTATAAAAACACTCTTGTTAAGAAACATCTCATCTAGAAACATCGCTCTCTAATTTCACCTGGGCTCCATCTCCCCTTGTTTGATACCAACAAGAGGAGTGTCTGTTACTAACTAGAAGTATGTTTGGATAGTTTGGGATGAGTTCTGGAGTGAAGAGGTTAAATGAGATTGACAGTGCCCATGCCTTTAATCCCCAGCACCCAGGATGCAGAGATGGGATCTCTGTGAGTTCTAGGCCAGCCTGGTTTACATAGTGAGTTCCAGGACAGCTAGGGCTTCATAGTGAGCCACCATCTCTCAAAACAAACAAAACAACGAAACAGAAAAAGATCTACAGAATGCCGGTTGTCACATACACCAATCTTATTGCTGAGCCAGTAGTTTGCTTCTTTGTGACTTCAGGTCTGGACATTCTCCATCAGTCTATCTCTGTGGGTGGTGTCCTTGACTGACAGGAGCAAGCCGGGGAGTGACAGATGCTCACCCTGGGGTGAGTGGGAGAGTGCTCCCAGGCCCGGGTGACATTACTGTCCAGCAGCAGCTCCATCCTTAGAGTGGTTTCTGTTTTGATGCATGTGTTGTTACAAGTTTGAAATCATTGTTGTCTGTTTTTCTTGAAGCTTCCCATAGGCTCTTAAGATTGGGCTTTGCAACTGAATACGTTCTCAGGTAGGGTTTGCGGTGTAAGAGGCACACTTTCTTAGAGCAGGGGAAATGAAAGTGTTAACGGTTTCTCTCCTTTTTATCCTTCAGGTGAATGAGAAAGAAGCGGACTATGCAAAGAATTCCTTATTCCTTCGACACCCTGAGATGAAAACTTGGCCTTCCAGCCATAATTGGTTCTTTGCTAAGTTAAATATAACCAATATCTGGGTCTTGGACTACTTTGGTGGACCGAAAGTAGTGACACCCGAAGAATATTTTAATGTCACATTGCAGTGAGTAATTTATACATCGTTCACCTTTCTGGCATTGCAGGCCTTCCCAATGCAAGGGGGTTCCATGTCACATGATGTAGACCCTTGCATAATATAGGGTCCTCTCTCAAAATAATACAACACATAGGTGCACACAAGAAGCTAGGCAGAGTAGCTCAGGTGTTTAATGCTTGAGTTCTGTAAGCTTTCTATACTCCAATATTAAGCTTCTCCACCTACACTGTAATCCAAATCAAGCTGAAATAAGAATTAAAAGTCCAGGTTTAATGGGCAAAATGCTCCCTGATGATTTTTCGGCCCCTAGAGAGGAGATGGGGAGACCAAAAAATCACATGGCCTGTCCCTAGGAGGCAGTTTAAATACCCTGTAGACCTGGGAGGAGCTGCCTCTTGGACTTGTTTTGAAAGGGGGCAGAGTTTGGAGAGAGAGAGAGAGAGAGAGAGAGAGAGAGAGAGAGAGAGAGGTGTGAGATGGAGCTTCCACCCAAACAAGTTCCTGCCAGCATGGTCTACATGGTGAGTTTTAGGACAGGCCGAGCTACATAGTGAGATCTTGTCTTTAACAAAACCAAATAAGCAAACAGCTCAACTGCAATTGCTAGTGAGTTTGAAGCCAGCCTGTGTTACATGAAACTGTGTTTCAAACAAAACAAAGAAACAAATAAGGGGGAATCTAGTAATGAGCCTATAACTCTCAAAGTAGTGACGACTAGAGACTATGTAACATTTACCACAACCCTAATTATAATACAACTGGAAAGGACCATTGACTTCTCTATTGCCATTGGAGACAGTCACAGATACACTGTCACCTCTATGATTTGTCATCTGTAATCATCATCGAAGGAATAACAAATTTCACTTAGAGCTCAATGAAAATGGAGAAAAGTTCCATTCAAGATACAAATCCCCGTGAATGCTACCTGGGGTCTAGGCTACCAGGTTGAGGCCCAGTGTTAAGGCTGTGCCTGTCTGACTGTAGACAGACAGTATGAATGACTTGGGATGACTGATTCTAAGAATCAGACTTGCTGCTCTGGACTGTGCTGCCCCACATCTGAGTCTGAGCCAATGACGCTTTTCATGTCAGCATCACTGGGATGCCTGTGGGGAGATGTGGTTTATTCCTCTGGAGGTAATGAAGTTGAGACCAAAGGGGCCACTGGAGAGAAAGGAGAAGGGGCTGGAGGTGTAAGTTCAGTGACTGGGTCCTGGGGTGGGAATCTCAGCATTGCAAAATAAAAATAATAAAATTCCCACAGGCTGGAGAGACAGCTCAGCAGCCCAAGGTTTGGTCCCCATTACCATCTTGTCCGAGTGTAAAGAAGAAGCAGGCTCCACTGATGGACGGGGGCAAGAAGAAGGGGGTGATCTGATCTGGAGTGAGGTCAAGGATCAGGGCAGAGTGTTTCCTAAGTGACAATAAGAATGTTGCTATATCAACTAATCACTGAACTGAACTGGAATCCAGTTGCAGAGAAGGACAAGTGATGAGCAAAGGGGTCCAGACCAGGCTAATGAAACCCACAGAAACAACTGACCTGAACATCGGGGAGCTCTTGCTCCCCAGACTGATAGCTGGGATACCAGCACGGGACTGATCCAGACCCCAGGAACCTGGGTTTCAGTGAGGAAACCTCAGAAATCTACGGGACCTGCTGTAGTAGTTCAGTACTTATCTCTAGCATAGGTGTGCACTTTGGGAGCCCATTCCACATAGAGGCATACTCCCTGAGCCAAGACACATGGGGGTGGGCCTAGGCCCTATCCCAAAGGATACAATAGACTCTGATGACCCCCTATGGAAGGCCTCACCATCCAGGGGGAGCAGAAAGGATATGTGATCGGTAGGGTTTTAGTTGGGGTGGGGAGTGGTAGGGGAGGAGGGGAGGGAGAGGGAACTGGGATTGACATGTAAAACAATCTTGTTTCTAAATCAAATAAAAAAAATCTGCCAAAAAAAAAAAAGAAAAGAAAAAGAACGTTGCTATATATGACACCTGCAAACCTGAGAGGTGATAATGGCAATACTAACAATAGCAGCTACAGTTTGTTGAACATGTTTTACTGGTCGGTGCTATGCTAATCGCTTCATGTGATTAGCTTAATTTCTCACCACACCCCTGTGAAGTAAGCAGTGATTCCTAGGCTGTAAAATGGAGCACCTGGTTGAGAAATGCCAGGCTTGCTTGATGCCTTTCAGCCAAGAGGTGGCAGTGCTGAGATTCAGACGCAAGGCATTCTAGCTCCGGAGCTCTCATGACTCGGAACCATGTGCTGTTGCTGGGGCTGCCATTCCATGTTCATTTTTAGTTCACTTCCTGATTGTCATGACTGACAGCTCTGTAGGGAGATGGGTGAGGATACTAAGATAGATTTATATGCCATGCCTGAATGAAAATGGGTGCAGTAAAGAAACCAGACTAACTGCTCCTTGGGTGAAAAGGGAAAAGTTTATTCCAAACTGCCAAGGCTGTCTCCAGAGAAAGCAAGGAGAAGCGACAGGGAAAAGATATTTTGTGTTAAATGAGAATGGGAGAAAGGGGGCTTGTGCACTGGGGTGGGGCTTGTGAATCTGGACCAAGGAAGCTTAGAGGCTAGTATTGACCCTGTCAAGTTCATAGGCACCACGGTCCTACGTTAGTGGAAGAGCCACAGGTCCCTCTTGACTCCCTTTGTAGCAAGTAGGAACTTTCTTCAAGTCCCCGAGAGAATGGTGGCTTTTGCCTAAATGCCCGACCCAGGGAAAAGGAATTTCTTGGGGGACCGGATAATGCCCAGTTTTGGAGCTTAAAGTCTTAGTGTTTATGTATTCTCTGTCTTATTCTATTAGAGACCAGCCATGTTAAACTATGTAGCCCCTACCCCACCCCTGGGGTTGTGAATTTTAACAGCACAGCTCAGGGTTATATTGTTTTCTTGTTCCTGTATTTTGAGCAGAGCTGAGGGCAGTGCACGGCCCAGCCTGCAGCAGGTGTTGGGGAAGCAGCTGCTGATTGGCAACTGATTGAAACAAAGACTTTCAAATCGTCCGAGCAAAGAATCCATCATTGATTTTGCTGCCATGTGTGTGGGAGAAAAGGCACAGGGCCTCTGACCCTCCTCTGGGCTGGCCAAGCATCCCCGTTATAGGACTGTGGAGGTAGCAATTGCGAGATTATTACCCGGTACCACATTATCAAGGAGAGTGACAGCAAGAATGATGGGCTGCTCTTTGAGGTTAGAGTTTACCTTCCCGGGACATCACAATCTCCGAAGTGCAGTTATCTCTGTGTAAATAACATGCCCAGGGCAGTGCTTACTTTAATAACAAAATAAAATTATGTTTTCCCATAAGTCCCTGCTCTGAGTGAGTAAAATAGAGGCTCCCAAGCTGTTATGTAGACGGGTAAGTGCTTTTCTGCAGTTCAAAGATAAGACAGAACCTTTGGTCTGGTCCTGAGGGGAGGATGGCAGACCAGGGCCACACTTCTCCTGCTGTGACAGTACCAGGGAAGGAAGGAAAGTGCCTAAAAACTGCCCTGTCCCCAGGTGCATCTGGCCACTGATTGCTACTTCAGTCTGTGAGTGAGACTTCCTCTTAGCTCCGTATTGCCATTTGCTGCTAGAACCGTGTCACAGTCCAGGGAGTGTACCGTTATATCTGTAAGGACTGGGGTCTGCACATTCTCAGGAGCCATTAATGGGGTCCTCATGGCATTCTGGAGTTTCTCTATGTTGGGGCCACCTTGAGGGCCTTGCACAGATCTGCCTTGGAAGACGTTCATCTAAATAGTGCAGAGCCTTCTGCATGCAGCTGATAGTTGTGACACTGGAATTGTGTCCCGAGAAATTGTCCACACTGGGACCTAGGGGTCATGGCTGACACATGGTTTGTGTCCTTGGGTCTGCTAATTTTCATGTCGAGTGAAGGTTTGAAGGACTTCATGATGTGTTTGCTGATACCCTGGGGGCAGCCTGTTCTCAGGAAGGGCTGCACCAGGCTTCACTTTATCGCTGGCTCAGTCAGATGTCTCCAAGCAAGACAGAGGCAGAGATTTCCTAGTTGGATATTCAATCCAGCTGGGACAGGAAGACAGACAGGGTCACCTCCTAGCTGGGCCTAGAATTGTTAGGTATTGGCAGTCACTTCTCTCCTGTTCTAATGTAATGTTCAGGACCCTTTGTTTTGTAAAGGTTTCTGCTCTCTCCCTCCTTTTGGAGAGTCTAATGTGTCCCAGGCTGCTCTAGAACTCTCCCGTAGCCAAGGATAACCGTGAACTCCTTCTGATCCACCTGCCTCCATCTCCAGAGAGCTGGGACTACAGGTTGAGCCACCTCGCTGATTTTATCAAACTCAGTTTTGTGAACACTAGACCCTCTCAACTGAGATACATCTCTAGCCCTGTTTGTTTGTTTTTTCATTTTAAACCTCCAGAAATTCTTTTTAAACGAGGTCCTGAGAACAGCGGGTCTGTTAGCATTTACCCTGTGACATCTACTGAGATGTCACAATCACCCATGGAGAGCAGAGGAACTTGCTAAAAGATTACTCCTGGGCTCCTTCTGGCACCTATTAAAGCCAGGACTTGGGGGTCCCTGAAATTAACTTAAAATATTAAACTTTTAGGGCCTGGGTTTCTCTAGTCTTTTCTGGGAATGAATGAACTTTTAAGACAGGCCATTCCAGCTAATGATATCCTTGTTTGTCTCTCTTTCCCTTTCCAGGTGAAGCAGAGCATGGTGAACCCGCGCACACCAGCAGAGAGTCCTACATGGCTCACACATGCTTAAAGGACATGGTGTTGCCTGCAACTTCTCTGGGCTGTCAGCGGACTCTGCTGCCCCTTGGTTGATTTTGTCTGCTTGCTTGTCTATAGAATGTTGTTGGTCCTAGACTAGATCTCTTGGAAGATGTGATTTCTGGATTTAAAACATGTATTTTGAAGCCATTTTCATAGGAAAATGCCATTCATTATAAGCAAGGATGTTTTCTTTCATCTATTCCCAGTGGTTTTTCCTCAAAGGTGCCCATATATTGGCAACATAAACCAGGTGTAGATTGCCCATTGACACTGGAGGTACAGAAGTCCAGGCACTTTATTCCTGAGAGCCACTGTGCCTGAGGGGTGCTCCCCTCACCCAGTTGTCTGTGGAGCCTGTGCAGAGGAGCCTGGGCAGAGGGTGTGCCCCGGATGCAGAGTGCCTGTGTGAACCCTTCAGACATGGAAGGGGTGAACTACCGTATGGCTGATCCAGCACAAAAGTATCGTCTGTAAAACTCTCTAAATGTCTTACATTTTAAAGTCATAGTTACCCAGAACCAAAGAAGTAAAAAATATTTCCTGCTTTCATTTTCCACCTAAGTAGACACAGTTATTCATTCTTCATCATTCAAAACACACACACATGGCCCAGGGGTGGGATGCAGCTTGCTTGAAAGAGTGCTCGCCCAGCATGCATGGGGCCCCAGGTCTAGTCCCCTGAATTGAAACAAATGAACAAAAAACCAAAACAATTCTTAAAGATTTCTTTATTTATTATGAATAGAACATTCTGCCTCCATATATGCCTGCACGCCAGAAGAGGGCACCAGATCTCATACAGATGGTTGTGAGCCAGCATGTGGTTGCTGGGAATTGAATTCAGAACCTCTGGAAGAACAGCCAGTGCTCATAACCTCTGAGCCATCTCTCCAGCCCCCAAAACAATTTTTTTTATTTGTGTGAAAAGAGAATTGCAGAAGGAATGGAAAAAAATTTTGTCTATGTTGGATTCTTTTTTTTACAAAAAAAAAAAAAAAGAATTACAAGAATTAACCCAGGCACTAATCATAGCCCGAGCCTTCTTCAGGTGTTCTGTATCTCAAGCTCCTGGTGCTACCATCTGAGTCACCCATCTGTGGGAGATAACATGGTAACATGGCATAAAAAATGTTTCTGGACCAGAGGACTGCCCCAGCCGAGGAGCTAGTGCCGGAGCCGGGCAGACACAGCTGCTCAGAACTGCAGCTCCAGGGAAGCAAAGCCCAAGCCTCCGAGGGCACGTGCACTCACGGGCTTGTACCACACATAGACCCTCGCACACACACAATTAAAAATAATGCATTTAAAAAGCATTTCTTCAGAGGAGGTACTAGTTAGCTTCATCACCTGTATTCATGACCTTGGATGACATAGGATTCCTTTTAATAAGGTGTGGGGTTTCAAGCCACTGTCCACTTCAGCAGCAAGAAGTTAAACAGATAAACTTAACAAATCCAGCAAACGACTTGTCAAGGAAAAAATTGTTGAACGGCCAGGATCTTGTCATTCAAACCACTGACAATTAAAAGTGTTGTGTTTTAACTGTTTTAACAAGAGTATTGGACTGCTTTCTGAGATACAGATGTTTGTCACAAAGCTCCATGTGCACTGCTCAAGCAACATTCTTGTTTAGCCACACTCTTTTTTTTTTCTTCGAGACAAGGTTTCTCTGTAGCTTTGGAGCCTGTCCTGGAACTCACTCTGTAAGACCAGGCTGGCCTCGAACTCACAAAGATCCTCCTGTTTCCGAGTCCTTCTATTAAAGATGTGCGCCACCACCTTCTGTAGCCACACTCTTAAATCAGCCACTTGTTCCAGAACCCAGAGAGAATCACACCGATTTTCCCCACTGACAGAGAGCTCATCATGTCCCAGAATTTGGGGACTGTCTGAATCTAGGCTTTGCCACAGGTCCTTGGGTTCCAGCATGCTCTGTAGAACTGGGTTGAGGGCATTGCCCTAGTTTTCTCTCTCTGCCCGCTTACTGTGAGTTCTGTCTTCATCATTTGGCACTGTGGAAAAACTGTCCATATTCAGGTCAGATCCAATTATCCTACAGAGCTAAGTCAGTTCTTCACAGCAGTCTGCACGTTTTTGTATAAATGAACTTGTAGCATGTCATCGAAGCATTCTGAATGTCCACAAGGGGGCACCACAGACTACTGTTAAAGCGGATACAGGTTGTGTTTTGGGGGTTAGGTGGAGATTTTGTTTGTTTCATTTTCTCTATTAGTGTTTCTAGACTGTGTGGTTCAAGGTGTCTTCAAACCTGTGACCCTCTTGCTTCAGATTCCTAAGTACTAGGATGACAAACACATGCCTCTATGCCCAGCACAGTGCCAGTTTCTCACATAGCTGAGTTAGCCAAATGTCAGGGTGAGACCATGATGGTGACATCATGCAATAGAGGCAATTCAGCAAGGGCAAGAGGTGAGATGAAGACCTGGCCTCTTGCTGCTGGTGGTGGTGGGGTCATGGCTCTGTCAATTCCTTCACACACAGGCTTTGCCTCACCGGGGTCTCACACCTCACCTGCTGCAGACAGAGACTGAGCCCCACTCTTAGCTAGGATAAGGTATGAATGAAAGCTGTGGCCCCAAGAACATGCAGCTCCTAATCAAGGACATGGTACTAAGAGGTCATGGCCGAGAGTCCCTGAAGCTGCAGAGAGCCCAAGTAGTTGTATTTGGCAGATGTTTCCTGGCCACTGTTCTGACCAAACCAGGACCAACAATCAGATGAATCTGTCTTTTAGTCCAGGTTCAAAGCCCTTGGGATTACGGGAGGTGTGTGGATCCATCATGAGCCGAGGCACGCACGGTTCAGTGCAACAGGAATGTTCTGATGAGATTGCCAGCATCATGTGTCTGGCAAGGTAATTGAGGGCTACTTTCCTGTAATGGCGCATTCTGTAGCTGTTTTAGTGCTGAGAAAATGACACTCTGTGGGAGTTTATTGGCCGGTATTTTGTGGTGTTTTGCAAGCTCTTCAAAACAGATGTTCTGTGTTTTCATCTGAGAAGACAAATGGTTAGTTTAGAAGAAAGTCTGGAGCAATCGTTTTCTTAGTTCTTTCCTTTGTCTTATAGGATTCACATATGAGAGAGAGGGAAGGAGGGAGGCGCAGGTGTGGGTGAGGAAAGCTCAAGACTTATAGACCCTAGTTTGTAGTTGGTTGGTTTTTACTCTTTGCTCCTTGAAGGCCCCACCACCCAGCTCCCAAATAATGGCACAGAGACTTACTCTCTCTTGTGAATGCCCAGGCTTAGCTTAGCTTATTTCTAGCCAGCTTTTCCTAATTTAAATTATCTTATCTACCTTTTACCTTTGGGCTCTTCTTCTTCATTTTTTCAAAACAGGGTTTCTCTGTGTAACAGTTCTAGATGTCCTGAAGCCCACTTTTAGACCAGGCTGGCCTTGAACTCACAGAGATTCTCTTGCCTCTGTCTTCCAAGTGCTGGGATTAAAGGCGTGAGCTACCACCAACTGGCTGCTTCTGGGCTTTTACCTTTCTCTATTTCTGTATATCTTTTCTTTCCTTTTTATTCTGTGTCTGGCTATGTGACTGGGTGGCTGGCTCCTGGCACCCTCCTCTCCTTTTCTTGCTCCTGTAACCTAGATTTTTCCATGTATTTATTCTCCCCTGACTCGTGTTTAACTCAGGTGTTTTAGATAGGCAAAGTAACACAGCTTCACAGAGCTAAACAAATACAACACATCTTTACATCATTAAATAAACGTTCCACAGCATAAACGAATAACACATCTTAAAGTAATATTCGACAACAATAGCCTAGTTTCGAGTATCTTGTGGCTCTTTCCCATCTTTGATAAATTGTTGAAGGATCATGCTGAGCACTGACCAGGTATCCCAATGCTTTCACTTTATCTTGAGTTTGTTAAGTTCCAAGAAATTGCTTACAAGGATAACTTAGTAAAAGGCAAAGGATCTCTATGACCTGAAGAGAAGCCATAGTATTCAAGGGCAATGTAATAGCTGTAGAATCTTTCCTCACAGCAGCATCCCCAGGCTACAAAATAACCACCCACGCTGGAGTCTTGCTATCGCAGGGACTCAAATCAAGGTAATTTAAACAAAGTGGAGGAGTTTGCTGTTCCTACAATAATATTCCGTCAGAACACCATCTTCACATTGGTGCTTTTCTTTTTGTTAGTTTTAATTGCAGCCAGCAATTCTGACAAAGCGGATGAATGCTTCATAGTTGGGGTCCTGGTCACTCCTGAATAAGCAGCACTGTGTCTGGAAGTGCCCAGGTCCCATGTCTGCGGGCAGGATGCCTCATTGGCCAAGACTGCATTACCTGTCCTTTCCAGGAGATGGGGGTGGGAACCAAGAGGATGTGAAGAATTTTGAAGGGGATTCCTGGAAGGAGGTCACCATAACTGACAGGGTCAGACAGAGCAGGCCAAGCCTGATGGTGATCACCACTCTAGGTTTTCTTTTTCTCCCTAGTTTCTTAACGTTTCAGTTATACAATTTCCAAGAATGTTGCAGAGTGTTTTTAGGGGTTGAGATCAACTAGCAGCTATGCAGCCAAATGTCACAAAGGTCACAGTGCTTGCTCTGTGCTGAATCCCACAGGGAAAAACTCTACTGAATTATTTAAATTGGCAAGTTTTAGGTTACCGGTAATAGCTAACATACAAAGTAGTAGTTTGGACCAATGAGATGACTTAACCAGTAAATATATTCGCTGCCAAGTCTGGTAGCCTGGGTTCAATCCCTGAAACCCACACAGTGGGACAAAATGTTGTACTGTGCCTGGCAGGAGCCATGGCATGTGCATCCCTCACCACACACATACACACTCGTTAAATAAATATATTAATAGTTTTTAAAGTGTTCTGTCTGCTGCTTTTCCTCTTTGTGAACTGTCGGCTTCTGTTCATTGTTCCATGGTTGGGCCTCTGGGAATCACTTTAATTTACTTTCTAGTAGCTCTAGGGGTTTGTCAACACTTAGTAAAACTGTTTCCCATGTAAATTATTTTAAAATCGGTATATTTAAATTTTTCCATAAAGAAAATTCACATAATTGGATATTTTTCCCTTAATGTATTTAATTTTCTTTAAATTTAGTTCTTTGCCTTTGGGAAATTTGGCAAATGTCAGTTCAGGTTTTCTTCCATTTTTATGAATTAATTTTTCACCCTCAATTCTTCGGTCTACCTAGAATGTTCCTTGTGTCTTTCCTAATGACAATCTCAAGTCACAACCAGATCTTTTAATCTATTGTGAGCCCAGATCTGCCAACAGGTCTCTCAACAGCAGTGACAGACATTAAGTTGACATCCCCCACTGAACCTGCTTACAATCCCTGGGGCAGTCTAGTCTAATGACACTCTGTGGCCCTCAGTTTGGGCCCTCGGCACTGATGTTGGCTAGAGTTATGGCTCTGTTAAGATTCTCAAAGATTCAAACTTTGGACGGCGTTAACTACGTGCACACATACGCTCACACTCCTTAGTTAGAGTCTCCAGTCCCTTCCACAGCAAACACTTAGCTGACTTTCTCAGTGCGGTATGTGTGGTGGC